AACATTTTCTTAAATATTCCAAATTCCATTATTGTTTTAATATATCGAAATTATTTATATATTAATAATTTATTAGTTATGTAATAAATTTAACATATTAATAAAGAATATACGAAATTTTGTTGTAAAATGTATTGAATTATTTGATAAAATTGTTGGTTAAAACAATATTGTTATTAGATATAGAATTGAATCGTTTTTAATAAATAAGAAACGCACATTTTTGACCATTTGTTCTTGTAATTTGCATGATTGAATGATTAAGAAAATAAATATTATTTATAATCCAAACTTCAAATATTTAACAGTTCTTTAGTTTCTATCTATCAAACTTTGTTTCTTATACTACAAATATCTTTCAAGTACAGGTAAACGTCGTTTTACGCCGGGGTTTCGTTTCTACAAAAGCCGTCGCAAATCGAATCGGCGTAAAATGAACCCATATTTACACTGAGGTAACTATAAGGTTTAGTTCTATATAAGTGTAAAATAAGCAATTATTTCACAGCGGTGTATATATTTTATGTTATGATATAATTATACAAGCTTTAGTTCTCTTAATTCAATTACAACTCTGATTTTTAGATAATCTACAAATTATTATTAGATAATTATGATTATGATACAATTTGTATCATTAATTATAAACAAATTATTTTTCCATGATTCAGATGAAACATATAATCAGAATTTAACAAATTTAAAGCAAAAACAAAGCTATCTAACAAAACAAGCCACAAAAATATTTATATAATAGCAACTTTACGTCAAGAATTGTTTATTACATTACTAAACATAATCTACTATTTGTTTTGATGTTTCGTAATTTAATGAGCAAAATCAAAACATTTTCTTAAATATTCCAAATTCCATTATTGTTTTAATATGTCGACATTTTTTATATATTAATAATTTATTAGTTATGTAATAAATTTAACATATTAATAAAGAAATATGCGAAATTATGTTGTAAAATGTATTGAATTATTTGATAAAATTGTTGGTTAAAATAATATTGTTATTAGATATAGAATTGAATCGTTTTTAATAAATAAGAAACGCACATTTTTGACCTTTTGTTCTTGTACCTTTTGCATGATTGAATGATTAAGAAAATAAATATTATTTATAATCCAAACTTCAAATATTTAACAGTTCTTTAGTTTATATCTATCAAACTTTATTTCTTATACTACAAATATCTTTCAAGTACAGGTAAACTTCGTTTTACGCCGGGGTTCCGTTCCTACAAAAGCCGTCGCAAATCGAATCGGCGTAAAATGAACCCATATTTACACTGAGGTAACTATAAGGTTTAGTTCTATAAAAGTGTAAAATCAGCAATTAATGAGCGTTATTTCACAGCGGCGTTATTGTGAATCGGCGTAAATTGAGTCAGCGTAAACCGGGGGCCATCTGTATTCGTATATATTTTATGTTCATGATACAATTATACAAGCTTTAGTTCTCTTAATTCAATTACAACTCTGATTTTTAGATAATCTACAAATTATTATTATATAAATTATGATTATGATACAATTTGCATCATTAATTATGAACAAATTATATCCATGATTCTTAATTAGAATTTAACAAATTTAAAGCAAAAACAAAGCTATCTAACAAAACAAGCTACAAACATATTTATATAATAGCAACTTTACGTCAATAATTGTTTATTACATTACTAAACATAATCTACTATTTGTTTTGATGTTTCGTAATTTAATGAGCAAAATCAACACATTTTCTTAAATATTCCAAATTCCATTATTGTTTTAATATATCGACATTTTTTATATATTAATAATTTATTAGTTATGTAATAAATTTAACATATTAATAAAGACAATATACGAAAGTTTGTTGTAAAATGTATTCAATTATTTGATAAAATTGTTGGTTAAAGTAATATTGTTATTAGATATAGAATTGAATCGTTTTTAGAAATAAGAAACGCACATTTTTGACCTTTTGTTCTTGTAATTTGCATGATTGAATGATTAAGAAAATAAATATTATTTATAATCCAACTGATCTCGACCAGATTGATCTGGATGGTTGTTGCACCATCGATATCTGAAATGCATCATCGGGATCGTTACGAAATGGTTCCGAGAAAGATGCTGCAAATTATACCACGAATGCCGTTTTGCCGCGGATATAAATTATATAAAGCATTTAAATTGTCGGTTGTGTGTTATGAATAGGATACCTTCCAGGAATTTCTTCTGCAGAAAAAATAAAAACAAATAAATAACGTAGTCTATTCGCAAGAATTCAACGAAATCCGGTTTCCAGTCTATATAAATTCGATTTCGAAATTCTATTACTACCTTTTAAAACTTTCCATTTCTATTTATTATTATTTAGAATTTTGTTTATAGTAAACAATTTTTTTTTTAAATATTTAAGTTTTATAATTTTTACTTTCTTCATATAAATAATAAATTAATAAAAGATAAGTAATTAAAAATATTTTTTAATTGTAAAAATACTTAAAGAATTGTAATTAAACGTTAGATAATAAATAACAAAAATTTAATGTTTCATTAAGCTTAACACATGGATTAACTATTTCATTAATAAGTATATTATATAGGCAACTAAATTAACTAAAAAAAGTAACAAAATAGATCATCTCTTTTACTCATTTTATTATTACATCATATTGAGTCAATTGAACATCTTATTATAGAACTATTATTACGTAATGATAATTAATTAACGAAAGTTCTATTATCTTTTTTTCGTCTTCACGTTATATTTAATTACTCAATAACCATGCATGATAATTAAAGAAATGAATATGCGAATTAAAGACAAAAATATGCCCTTTTTAACGAGCCTATTACCAGTTTTGTAATTTTTGTCGTTCTCTTGTAATTAATTATTAAAAAAAATCTCAGAAAAATAAATGTACATTTGGTTGCATATATTACACGTACTGTGTTAATTCAAATTTAAAATAATCATTAATTATCGATAGGCCTTTAAATCCATGTCTGGTTATATAAAAATAGATAATTTCTAATTATTTATCGATATGAGGTTATGTTAATATTTCTTGTTATAGATGGAGTGAGTGATGATTACAGAGGTATATTTTTATATAATTGTATGAAGTATTTTGAGTAGTCGTGATCATCAGTAGTCAATAGCTTGTGAACATTAGTAGGTTGCAGTTCTTAAATTAAAGATGTAAGTTTCTTGTAATATCTCTTTGTTATGATCTCTATTGCTGGACAAAAGGAGAAAAGGCTTTTTAATTTTATTTAATTAATATTGTTCGTATATTTGGTTGCAAACTTTCGCTGCTAATTTCAAATAATTATAATATGCAAGGTACACCAAGTTCAGTGTTTCTCAAACTTTTTGGTCTGTGATCTATTTTGATTAAGACAGTAAAGGAGATGATTGTGATACATGTACTTTTAAGAATATGCACGAAAGGGGACGAAAATAGAATAGTCGGGTGTACCTAGTATATTTATATCGTGATACTTATCGGTCTTTAAATAACATTGGGTAATAGCAGTTTCCTTTTTTTAAATGATGATGTGATCAAAAAATATATAAAAAAAATATAGTTTTTGAGTCATAGTTGCGGTATAAAAGATCGATTATATGAAATTCGAGTATACTTGTAAAATTAATAACAATCTTCATCGAAAGCCCTATGATTGACAAAGGGATTTTGATTTGCAAATGAATAAATATGAAAATGAATTGAAATTTAATTAATTACAGAAAATTATGAAATACAATAAACGTTGTAATTGGCTTAGCAACAATATGTTAGTAGTACCCTTTTGAAATTGCGAAAATTGATTTTTCGTTCGCGCATTGCGCACCGCGAATGTCCTGCGCGTTCCAACCCCAACCCTAAGATAATATCAGTAAGCATATCATCAGCAACGCCAGTTTATTGACAAATACGTATTTGGTCCAATTCGCACAATGGAAAATCTCAATAAGAGGAAACTTTCGTAAGTCTTAAAGAAAATTAACGAATAGATTAGAAAATTGTAAGTTGAATCGTAGGGCCAAAGGGGAGAGCTTGTACGCACAACTAACGCTTCCCAAAACAGCTACAGCGGAGGAGATCAGGAAGAATTATCGACGATTAGTTATCAAGTATCATCCGGACAAGAACCCAGACCCAGCGGCCGTCGAGAAGTTCAGGGAAATCACCTACGCCTATTCGGTGCTCAATGATGAACACAAAAGGGCGATCTACGATGAGTACGGTTCGATTGGTTTGGCAATTGGGAAGAGTTTCGGAGACGAAAGCGTCTGCATCAAATTACCGTGGTGGTTGAAAGTACTTCAAAAAAAAAACTAATATAAATAAATTGAATATGGTTAAATTTAATTTTTATTTTTTTAAGATTATCATCTTGACGAGTTGTCTGGCCACTTGTTTCTGTTGCTGCTGCTGTTGTTGCTGTTGCTGCTGCAAGTACAAACTTAAAGATCCCGAAGAAGACGAGGAGTTTAAAACTTTCCAGGTATTAACATTGTTATAATTATCGAATGTTATAATACTCTGAGATTTCAGGAAAACGCTTTAGTGGAGTACGCACCGAAACCTGGTGATTACGAGATCGAAAACGAAGACGAGGATGGGCCTTCCACCTCTGATCCAAATTGCAAGATCACCAGCAATCCATTCTTTGCAACAGGTTAAAAACAAATCCATCAATTTCTTGACATAACTTGAGTTACTTTAATAAAACCAATATGTTTCTTTCTTTTCTAGAAGGGCAACAGGAAACGACCTTTGTGTAAATATGTATAAAAAAAAAAGAAACGAATATCATGCTCCAAACAAACGTGTGCGAGGTGTGAAAAAAAATTGTTTATGTAATCTTGTGTGAGGTAAATGTAGCCTAATTGTGATTACGCGTTGAAACGAACACCGAATCTTCCGTATATTTGTGTGTGTCTCGTTCAATCTATCCTTCTATCCCCACCCCCACAACAAAATCGAATATCCAATTTTATCGTAGCTAAATATTATATAAGTGAATGTTTGTTGTATAGATTTAAGGTTTTCTTCCAAAAAAAAACCGAGATTGTTCAAATTGCTAACTCCTTTTTCGAAGATATCTGTCTATCGTTTTTATTGTTGATGTGACTAGCGTTGTTTTACATTTAATGTATTGTTGTAATGTTTTTGATACTTTGTTCGTTGTTCTTGTTAGACGTTTTTGAATTTTAATAATTTAAGCATTATTCTCGGATAAATTCATGGAAATATTAGTGATTTGACAATAAGTATAAAAAGAACACTGTCACACTTCTAAATAAATGTTTATTCTATATTGTATTTACAAAATGCATTTTTATTCTAATTTCTATTAAGAATTTCATTGATGTAAGTATATAAAATGAATAGACAACTAGTAGTAATATTTTGGTGGATTCGCCGGGTTTTGGGAATACATTTTAAGTATTTAAGGTATTAATGCATACAAAAAAATGTATAAATAATTCTTTATTTATATTTTTTAAAATAGAAAATACATATAAAAACGTAAAGAAAAGACTCAGATCAAAAACGTAAACTACAGGTGTCATTACAATATTACATACTTATTTTTTTTTTCTTCTTTTAAAACATTTAAATTTATGTACAAGGTTGCCTGAGATTGTTTTGTTCTAGTTCAATCAACACTTGATAATGTCATCGAAGAAATCCCGCTTCTGCTGAGCAGTGAATTGCAGCTGCGATCCATCACCATTTAGCAGGTAATTCAGGTCTTGAGAGATGCTATCCATGACTGCATCCATGCACTGAGGACTTCTGCAGTTTCCCTCATCGTTCGTAGTCATTTTCCCATCACTCAAAACACTGGCCACCTTCAAGGGCTCTTCGAAAGCCCTGCTAATTGCTATCTTTATATTGCTCTTCGGACTTGGAGCGCTCTGCAATGAGGATGCGACCAAGTCGAGCTCGACGAACATCTTGCTTCCAAGTATATCAGGAGATGTCAACGAAGAGGATTTGATCAGAGGATTCAGCTGGGTCGGGCTCGAGGTGTACTGCTGTATGCTGGGAGATTGCTCCATACCGATGACCTCTTCGCAATTAATGCTTTCATCACCTGTTGGATGATAACAGGATAAATACAATTGGAAATCCGGACGAGTCTCGCGACGCAACTAACTTACTTTAGTCGTTAATGTAAACTACGCAACGATTAAATTGATCTATAAAAATAAAATATTCAAACAAACAAAAAACAAAACAAGAACGGACGCAAAGTGTAAAATATAAGTTATATACAAAAAGTAAATGACTCTTTTGCACTAACATTTTTCGGATTGTTGGTTCTCGGTGGAATTGTGGTGCAAGCTTAGTTTGAATTTATCCTTCAGCTTAGGACGCAGCGCGAAATTTGATTTCCAGATCAGACAAATCCCCAGGACGAGTCCCTGCGGATCAATGCAGATGATTAGATAACAAAGGAGGCGATGCATGTATGCATAAGCTTACGGAATAGATGGACACTCCGGAGAAAACATAATACCAGAGCACTTCGTTCAGCTTGTTCACGTACACGACGCTTAGACAGGCTAATAAAGTAACGGTGTAAAAGACTACTAGAGTTCTCTTAATCACGGCGGACCTAAAACGCAATGATGTCAATTTTGGAAATACATCTTCATCGTCGCTAAACAATTGCCTATTCATGAGGTAATTCGACTTGCACTCGGTCTCGACATGGATCATCCGCATAACTATACCGAACAGGACGATGAAGAGGACGGACATTATGACACCGCAAATGATGAAGACTTTAAATGATAAACTGCCTTGAAGAATCCACCAAAATTTCAACTGGATTTCGGTGGATTGATGAGCAACGTGACTTCCGAAGACTACCAACAATGGAGCACCTAAAAGAAGTAAAATTAAGATCAAATTATCTAGGAAACTCATTATTAATTTACCAGTCATGATTCCAACGGCCGTCTGCTTCAAGCCTTCCTTATTTTGGATATTCACAAGTTCCGTGTAGATGACCAACAATGTACTCAATTGCGATGAAAGAGCCATGAAGAAGAAGCCTTGAAGTAACGAGACGGTGTAGAGGAAAAGATCCTGCAATCGTATTCAGTTCGGTTAATTAATTAGGTTTTTTTTGCTTCGTACAGCGTGGAGATTTCACAATTACCTTCGGAATATCGTTGCTCGTGGCTATTAGGAAAATGATCAGAACGGCGGAGAGCGAAACGCAGCACTGCAGCTTTAAAAACGTGAATGAAGACCTCCTGTATAGCCAATTTAATAGTAGTATTAAGCTGCAGAAGGATGTTAGGATCAGCGCTGAAGAGCAGCCAATTAAAATTATGAAGTTGTTTGGATTTGTTGTTTCTATCCGCTCCTGTAATGCAAAAAAAAAACGTATATGTACTTTAATTAATTGGAATACACAACTTTTAATTGATTTAACTGTTTTTATAATGAAGAAAAATAATAGAGAAATTCATAGTTAGAAATAATGAATGTGATTAGATTAAATTCACTCACCATCCTGGGTTCTTTGACCAAAAGTAAAGCGATTGTTCCTTGATGGGAACAATTGCAGATGGTCGCAGTGGAATTCTCTGATCTGGCGAAGCACTGGTTCGTATCCCACGCATAATTCGAGCTCGCAAACTCTGCGAGAGCGCATCGGATGTCCCACTCGAAACTGCGTCCCACAGGTTCGTGGATGAAGAGCAACTTCATCAGACGTACACCAACATCGAAATCGCTTCCGCCGCTCAACCATCGGCCGTTCACGCTGGAAATGATCCGGTATTCAATATCACGGTCATCCCTGAAACACAGAGTGGATGAATTGGGTATGCATTTCGGTCGTATTACACTAGGAAACTACTTGAGCCTAATCACTGATTTGGACGGTAGGAACTCGCTTAAATTCCTGTAGATCACTTCGGTTCTGCAAAAGCGCAACGGTAATTAATTGGATACAATTAAGAGTACACGGAAATAATTACACGTAATCCGCTCCGAAATGATCCACCACAATGTCCAGGTTCCTGTAACTCTTCCTCGTCGTTTCCGTCTGCGATTTCAATACTTCTTTCATCAGATTTTGCAGCAGTAGCACTTGCTGAAACATGCAACGTTTATCTGATGTTAATCACTCGATTGGTGACAACTTACTTCTTCCTTATTGAAGGAGTCTTTTTGGTTTAAAAGGCAATCCACGATTTCGAAGATAACTGCTGCGATGTCCTTGGATTCTGCGTGAGAGGCTGTCGAACTGTTGTAGAGGTGCCAGATGTTTCCTATCAAATCCAGGATCACGTAGCCCTCGCCGCGAAGTAAAGTTCTGTTTGCCACGTAATTGGCGACGTTGTTTAGTGCTTCCAGAGGGCTGATACGTTCGTATCCGGCGCGCAGAAACTGAAACTAATACTCGTCCTTTATTACACGGAATTACATTCGTTGTCTCCTCTCTCCTACATCGATCTTGGTGGACAGAAGATGATCCGATGTACAGTTGGAGTATTCTGGTGGTAACCAGGATCTTCCCGTCTCCAAGATGTTGCAGCTTCTGCTCACCACTCCCATGTAGGTCTTCGGGCAAAGCTGCTTATGTTCAGTTCCTGGTGCTGTCTCGGGCCACAGCAATCCATCACTCATCTCTACAGAACAAGGACTTATCACGCTCTTGTCAATTACATGAACGACTATAGATGATTCCGAAAATAGCTTTCCATCTTGAACTAGACAGGAGTAAGTTGCACTCTTCTACAATTAAAAAATCTTAATTAATTCGTCCAGTTCGTAGTTGTTATTTAATTACGTTTATTCCAGATGATCGCAGAAGACTTCCGCCAACGTAGAGTACATCATAGCGTTCAGTCTCAGTTTTCCTCGGCAAAAGCATCTTATCCTTCGTCCAAGAATATATGTAATTGTTGTACTTGGATCCACATTTTATGGAGAACGGTTGACCCTGTTGAAAAAATAACTCATATAAATTGTAATATGTTCTATGTAATATGTAATAACTTCAAATAAATTGTAATATGTTCTGTATTATGTAACATACTTTTGATACTGTGAGTGTCATAGGTCGTAGAAGAATACTAGGTTTGAACTTGATGGAGACGAATCTTGAGATGCACTGCTGCATACCGTAGTCTTCCACTTGGCACGTGAAGACGCCGCTATCCGCTCTCGTGGCCCTAACAATTCCCAGCAGCGCCGAGTACTTCTCCTTGCCTTCATCAATCAACTTCGTCCATTTGTTGCTGCAGAAGCCATGCATAATTAAGGCTAATGATCCAATATCGTGATTAAATTATTATTATTATTACCCGTGCGTCCAGTCCGTGTTCAAAAGCATCCCATCTTTGAACCATCGGAAAATCATGTTTCTCGAACCGCGCGCCACGCAAGACAGTATAAACTCATCGTTTTCTTCTAAAATTTCATGATTTATACTCACGCTCTGCCGAAAAGTAAAGAAAGTTAAGTCCAGCATATGTAAACGACAGATTTGTTAACTCACTTGCAAATCGAGGTAAGGATCACGCTTGAAAAATAACTCTTTGTCCAGCAAAGTTATGTTACCGATCTTTCCCGACATATTCCAATTATTTAAGATGTTCTTCAGACGCTCGTTACTCTTCGGCGCATAAAAACGAATTGTTAAATCGATACCTTCACTTCCACACCTAAAATTTATAAATCACCATCATATATAAATAATTTAAATTTTCCTTTCAAAATATATCGAAACTTAATTAATTTATGTATAAATTTGTAGATTGAAAACCCAATTGAAATTTTCATTAACAATAAATGGAAACTTAATTAATTTATGTAATGAAATTATAATTAAGGCAATTTATATTTATGATATTGAAATTTTCGTTGATTTAGGAAAGCCTTCTTTTCTCACAAAGGATTTCTCAAATCGCGTGAAAATTGATTACGTGGTATAGATTTTTCGATGGCTTTCACGTCGGATTGAATTCCTTTTGAGGTAGTCAGTACGCTGATTGATTGGCTTTAATTATGGATGATGTGGGTGTAGTATGGATGAATGTGTATGGAGAGGGTGGCAGAACTTTGCAGAAGTTTTCACATTTCCTCCAGCGGTTTCACGTAAAATGTAATAATATACTCACTTCAAATACGGAATCTGCACCGGATGAACGCTCCTTGGAAGCAATCCGGATATCTGCCAAAAAAAAGGATAAAGACAATAAAATATACCGTGTAATATACATATTGGATGAGAGCCTGAGATACTAGAGAGAAGCGTTGTTCGAGAAAATTCGTAGATTCTTCATATATTTCATTTTCCATCTAATATTTATGCTATAAGAGTTTATAAAATTTCCACATTTATTTTGATTTGCAAAATGTATTTCCTTTAATTCTGATGTGAAGTATATTTTGTAAAGGTAATAGTAGTAAATTGATTTATCTTCGTTAATTAATTTTCGAGGCAAAGAAAAACTCTTCGCGAGTCGATCAAAAGACATGGAAGGTTCGTTTTAATGAGAAGACGAATCAATACATTCCCACCATCCTGAATAAGAAAGAGAAAAAAAGGGTTAGGTTATTTTTAATTACAGGAGAAAGAGAGAAGGACGGCATTATTAGCTTTCGATGTAAATTAAAATCGCTCGAGAAGATGGGAATGGAATGAAAGTAAGGAACAGGAGTCGATTGTCTTGGAAATCAATTCGACATGCGAGGAACGTTGCACGAGTAATTCAATAACGGTGATGGTGGTAGAAGGCGGGAGGAGTTCAAGTTTAAGAAGAAATGTGATTCGGGGTGATCTGAAAAGCACTCGAATAACAATTAATTGCGAATCTTCGGATCGCGGAGTTCCAATTAATTTGCGCCAATTTGTCCAAAAAAAAAAAACAACACAAAAAAGCAATCTGCAATAATTCGTTTCTCGTGAAATACACAACCAAATCAAACTGCAAATATACATTTGGAATAATATTGCTAAAAATAAATAATGTCTATAAATCGTTCAGAGAGTAAATTTGATTTCCAATAAATTGAAGTGTTATTAAAAGTCAATAAAACCAATACGGTCGCATTTTTTTGTTGGTTGTGTGTTTATTTTTCCACCGAAAAAAAATATCAGTTACTAGCGCACATTGAACCCAAATCAATTGGAAAAATTACATACGTTTTGATTTGTTAGAAATACACGAATTTTCGTTTCATTTGCCTGAAGTATCTCAGAATTGGATAACGAATAGTAAAATTGAATTGATTCAACATTTTGTTGGAATATGTGTATTTTGCAATGTATAAACATGCGTGACGTGTTCGTTATTTCTGATGCGCCAGTAATTACCATCGCTGCATAAAATCCGGTACGATTCCAGTGGGTTATTTCCAGCTGGGAAGCTCAAACGCGTAGCATATTTTTTTCGTATTTATATCTCTGCATTCGTAAGGAGGTTCAAATAGAGCAGATTTTCGAAGCCAAATATAAACGATGATCTAAATTTTATTCATACCCATTCATGATACACCTTCATTCATCCAAATATCCCTAATCCTTCTACAGGTGACTTTTACGGGCTTACATAATTATTTATACATTATATGTTTGAATATTACATCATTGTTTGAATATTTATTCTTTAATAACAAAATAATTTCTTAAATTATGAATTTATATCCTTAATAAATTTTCTTATAAATGTCCATTACCAATAGAAATGAGTCTTTTTACTTCATATTACAATATGCATGTTGTGGTGTATAGAATTATTGATAAAACGTTGTTGGAATAGTTTCAATACGATATAAATACTTGCCAGTATTACATGCGACACTATTCACCGATACAAATACAAAGAGTGAATGAATTATCTGTAGTGGTTTTGTAAATATAACAGAATAAACAACAATATGCGGAGCGTACACATATGGGGTTAAATTGTAGTGGGAACCACCACTCGGAATATGGTATAGAAATACCAACACTTGAATGAATATATATGTTGCGTGATACTCTTGAAATTAAAACTGAAATAACTTTTATTCGCTGAAATGTATAGTGAATTTCAGCAAAATTCCTGTTTTGTATTTAGAATTGTTCATTTTTTTATAAACTTCAACAACACACTTATTTATTGTATTGAATTAATAGGTAACCGGAAAAGTTTTCAACATAATTTCAGTTGGTGTTAAGTTGCAGTAATTCGAGTTGTCGAACAAGTGAGGATATTTAATTGACGTTGCCTACTAACGAGAGCGCTAGAAAATGGAAAATTGAGGTGGAAAATTCACTTACATATTGTTCGAGTGCAATCTTGACTTCGCTCTCGTCGAAGGATCTGGTGGTTACGTTCGAGATGAAGAGGTCGGCGGTGTAGCCAATTAGATCCGAAGTGTCTGCAACAAAATTGGAGGAATCGGCTTTCGAGAGCCGCACATATTTAGCGAATTTTTTATGAGCTGCATACGTCTGCGAAAGTTGGCCTCGAGCCAATGCAGACACGAAATACTTTCATCCGGAAACAAGAATAACAAGAAACGATAAATTTACGACTTTGTTTTGATTCGAATCGAGCACGCACTATGCGAACACTCACCGTTTTTTAGAGTCCTCGGGCAGTCGCACGCATTTTCCAATGTCCCATCGTAAGGACACGATTTGAAGACGTCGAGTCCTCCTGAAACGATGAATTGAATTAGCACGGAAAATGATATTCGAGCAGACGGAAAATTCATATTAAACTCGCTAATCGAGTTAATTTGAATGGGACGGGAGGAGAGTGTTAACTTAAATGGGACAGGAATCGGACTGCATAATGGCCTCTTCATCTCGCTGACAATCGCGCGTCGTTAGGGATGAAGTGGTTTTTGCGGAACGACTTTTTTTTTATATCAAATTCATCTCTCTTTTTCATAGCTGCGATGATCATGCCTATTCATTGAAACGCGAGAGAGGAATCCGATTTGCGAACACTATTCATTATTCATGTGAGAACTTTATCGCTCTCGAAACTTTTATAATTAGTTGGATTTATGATCTCTGCAGCACAAAGGAATCAATCGGCGATGGTTGAGGTTCCACTTTTCAGGAAGTTTGCTTTTCCCAAGGAGAGGAGGAGAAAAAAACTCAACCTCACGTTTATTTATTCATCGATTAAATTCCACCTATAAATTACAGGTCCTTTATTATCATCCTTATTTTTTTTTTATTCCGGACTACAATCAGCGGAGCTGACGGTATTTACGAGGGTCGGAAATTTGTGTGCGCTCACGTCGTGCACAAAAGCGAAATTTTTCATCTCACGACAAGATTATGAATAAAAAAATATGAATAATCATTAACGTAAATATTTTTTTAATTAGTAAGAGCATATATCCAAAAAAAGTCTTAGATACATAAGGACAACGATCAGATTTGTCAAAATCAATTGGAAAAGTCAACAAAAATGTAATGAAAAATCAGATTAAAATTGAAAAAGAAGGATTATAGTATTAACATTTGCATACAAAAAGACACAAAAATAAAGTCAATTCGATTGAAAATGCAGGAAACAGTATATAACGTGCATTTTATATCAATATTAGATATGAAAAGTCAACGAAATGAAAAGTGAAAAAACTTCAAAACTTTTTCTTATACATTTGGTAATAGAAAATAAAACAAGTTGATAAGGATTAATAATAAATACAAAATGAAACAGAATTTGCAAATTTATCCAAGACAACAGAGACTGTAAATCAAGTTTGGTTGGAACAAAACAGAAGTGAAGAAGAAGTAAAAAAAAAGAAGGTAAACGTAGATAATTCGAAATGTGCAAAACACGAAGGGTGTAATGTGTTTCAAAAGTTTGCTTAATGAGTGGTTAAGTAAAAGACTCTGGTAATTTATTGATGAAGATTTCGGCGACGCAAAACTTACCGGGAACTTTCGATATAGATTCTGTTCGAGAGACTTACTTGCGTTGTTCGGCTCTTGCGTCATTAAAATTTCGCAATTAGAGCCGGTGAATCCCGGTTGACAAGAGCACACCACAGTCGATACTCCTATATGCCTGAAAACAAAACAAAAAGTAGATTACAATTACATGGAAAATAGTTAACAAAAAAAATAATAGTTGCTCGTGTAATTTACACGTAATCCAAATGATGGATTTCCAACAGAAATTTGATGCAACGCATTGGTTAATGTACACAACCGAAATTTAATATCCTTCCAAACTATTCTATGGATTTAATGAGCTGTATTATATTCAGCAACAATACAAAGCAAATATCGATTTCCCTGAAATTATATTCATAATTATATTTGCATCCTTCAATCATGTTTGTGATGTTATAACTTGTTACTGTTAAATTGAATTTTAACAAATTGCAAATATGTTTGCATGCTTCTTATTCATATATTGTCAGTTGCTTCGAAAAGAAGTTTTAAAATATTGCACTATTAGTGGAGAATATCGATACCGCACGGAATGCCAATTTAAAATACATCGGTTGTTTAATAGAGATGTATGGTCGAGCAGAGCAATGGGAATATTACGTTATAGTAAGAAATTCCCAAGTGGATGCACATAAAACACGTAACAATTTGCCTCTGGAGAGAAATAATAATAATAGCTAAAATTGTATAATATATTTATCCAAACCAATATTGAGCTTTGTAAATTTATAAGTTATTTAAAAAGTTGATAAAATCTAAATTTGGTAATATAAATATGGTTGAATCGATAAAAATTGTGTTTAATGCTATGGAAAGTATGGGGAAAATTAATAGCGGTGATTATTTTCTCGATGAATGGAGACTGTGGGGGTGAACGGAAGAAAAAGTTGGGATGTACTTAAATCGAGAGAGCGTCGTCGTTAAAACAAACTCTTTTGTTACGTGCGGTTTTTCGTACACTGAGCCCATCAATTTTCTTTTCCAAAAAAAAAAACCCCGATTCCGGTTGTGTGTGTGTTCTCCTATTATATTTTTTTTAAGGGTGCACACCCTCGTCTTTCCTCTGGTGAACTCTCTGATTTTTTTCAACATTCCAAGTCCTTTTTTTTTTCCAAGAGAGTTTGAATGAATATTTCGCTATAGTTTAACGAAGATCTGGGAAATACTCACATGCAAGTACCGCCGTTTTTGCAGACGGAGCTTCCGTCGTTATAGCACAGCGATTTCTCACCCTCCGAGCACTTCCTGCCACTATAGCCGGGAAAACACTCGCAACTGAAGTGTCTATAACAGAAAAAAACAACAACAACTATTACAAAAAAAAGTTCACCATCAATCTGACATTTAGCACGGAAGCAAAGCAACAAGAGAACGGCCTATCTGGCACCACCACCCCCAAATAAATGCACTTTTAACAACCCTTCGGTTGCCGCACTCAATCCCACGCCGGATTAAATGAAACCGGAGGAAAATGCAATCTGCCCCCTTTGGCAGAAGAAAAGTAGAATAGAAAAGTGAGCAGAAAGCAATTTACTACACTCATTTCAACTCCTGACCTGGATCAGTCCTGCAATTGAAGCAGGTCTACAAAAATCGCAATAAAATTTTACTCTAATCATTCCCATCTACTGAGTAGTCATAAAAAGATTCTTATATTATTATTATTAAAAAAAATACTTTAAACTTTGCAATATCAATGATTATTAGCAAAATAATACGTTCTGCACAAATATTTTCGATATTTCAAAGCGAAGTACATGAAAGATGTGAAATAGTAATCTCTGAAAAAACCCTGATTGAAAAATTTCAATCTAAATGACAATATTAAAGCGCATGTAAATAGTTGGTTAACAAAGAGTTAATTGAAAAAGCAGAACTCAATGGGTTTACTAATTGTTGGATATTCGCAATGTGAAATTTTGAAATGGAGCACGTAATGAACGAAAGGGAATTTCATTTTCAAAATAAATACAAAAACGTTTTTCATCATGGATTAAAAACATATTTATTGATTCAATTCAACTTTGAAATCTTTATAAAGTAAATATTTTATTTAAAGTTTATTAAATCTGAAATGTTCAATATTTAGAAATAATTGAAAAACATAATTTGGTAACTATTACAGACTTAGTAGTGGACTTTTTGGAAAGGCTATAGTTTTGTCTTTGATTTGCATTTTCGATGTTTAAATTAGACTATGTAGGTCTCTTCTGAAGTAATCATGAAATATGTAAAAAGTTTTGCAGTTTTCAAGTTAATATGTAAAAGAAATCAATTAGAAAAATTGCTTACTTTTGCTTCTCGTTCCTAGATGTTAATAATCAAATTTATTATTTTGGTAATCTTTATGTAATTAATCTTGTAATATTTTTTATAAATAAGATAATATAAAAATGTAAGATATTATGATTGTCGCAAATTGTACATTTTCTTATCCTTGGTAATATATCACACAAAGAAGAGGTTTTCCCCTTATTATTACTGGAGGCCGTATATATGTAGATGCTGTCATCCGGTTTCTTTCATATCTGCATGGACCATCCAATTTGTCGTTGGTAACGCGCACGCAGAGAATCATCAGAAACCCACAGGCTTTGCTACATCAGCAGAAAAAAAACGAACACCCATAAACTTGGGTATTTAATTTCCAAACCAAAACCTCGATCTCCAAGAGCGCGCTTTCCAATTTATTCCCTCCTTAATAAACACATTCCTCTCTTCATTTTACACTTATTCAGTTAATCAACTTTTCCGAGCAATTTGAAATGGAAATAGCTTCATCCCGGAGGGAGGAGGCAGCAAGAAAATTTGTAGCGAGCAATTATTTTATTTTTGCCTTCTCCATCGTCGACGGCAATCACGGAATCTTTGGGGGGGTTGGTCTGGCCTAGTGGCCTGGCTGAATATTCATTGGTGATTGGAAAAGTTCCGTGGCGACGGCGGCGACATAAAAAGAACTTTACCGAAAGCGCGTTTTCCTCGTCAACGATCGAAATTTAATTGATTTCCGACGCTCTACTTCACAAAAACCGCACTTCGTCGCCCCCTCGGTTGAGCGAAAAAAAAAGGAAGGGTAAAGAAAACGGGGTTGGAAAACAAATGCAATGAAAATTGTAAAAAACACGAAGCGTCTAAGGCAAATGCATCTGAAAGTTTAGTAGACTAGTTTTTTTGCGTCTTTCTTCTTGTTATTTTTGTTTTGGATTTACTTTGCGGAGGCAGCAATTCACTCCGCTTTGTGGATAGGAGGAGGCAAACCAAAGGAACGCGTTTGTAAATTTCAAACGGCTGGTTTTACTAATCCTCCCTATGTTTGCTGGTTTCGGTCGTTATTCCTTTTCAGAAAAAAAAAACCCTTTTGCTTACATACCGAACAAGTTGTGAACAAACCTACATTTGCGAAATAATCACGAGTTTAATGGAAAACATTACAACATTGAACTATAGCGTAATTTGATTCTAGCAAATAATTATTGATTGTTTAACGATTTTTTTTAATGCAAATATCGAGCATTAGTGCAATAATATAAACACTATTGTTCGATTAAATTGCATGCTATAAGCAGACGCTTCAGGAAGCTAAATGGGCGTTTGGGCTATTACACTAATTGGAGGTCGCTTTTGATATTTAGTGGGCGATACGCTCGCAGCCCCTCTAATTATAATCGCACTATATCTACATTGTTCCATGGATTAACCCAGTGGTTTCAAAACTATGTATTATAGTTTTCGAGTAAATCAATGAAATGTAAAAACACTGCTTTTTCGAACATTTTTTAAAATTTGAATACGAATTACAGCCAAACGG